TCTACACAAACCACGATAAACCCCTAACCGAACCGCTAAAGGTCCTCATGCCCTACATAAACCTTAAAATCCTAATGCAGGTAGAATTGAGGTCGAAGCTTGCTGTGAAAGTTATGCCCGCAGGTCGTCCTGTTCGCGGCAGCTTGGCTCGCATAAGAGCTTCTCAGAGGTTGCTTTTTGTTTCAAGGTCTTTTGCTGAGCCCCTTCGTCCACCTTGCAACTAATCTCAGCAGAGCTAGACTAGAAAACACCCACGACCACGAAGACCCCTTAGGAGGTAAAACACGTGGGTCTTCAGCACTCACACTCGAACTTGCCTGGGCACGCTTCGTGTGTTAAGGCTCAGGGATTTACATACGGCCTCAACAAAACCGCTCGTCTACCCTTAATCATGGTATCGACCCTCCTGTCATTTAGAGTAGTTTGCTTCATTCAACTGCTGGTGGAGCGTCTGCATCCATGGGGGTTCTATGAAGCCCTCGTTTCTACCGGGAGTGACCAAACGGGCTTCCAGGGTCAAAAAAAAGGGTAGATCAAGTAATCCCAAGACCTCCGGGTTTAGGGGTATAGAATTGAGGATTTAGGGCTTAGTTGGGGTTTCCTAGACCCTCCATCTACCCTCTATTAGACCCTAAATGCCCCTTAGTTGGGACCATATACCCCTATTTGAGGGTACATGGAGGGTCCTGGAACATGCAGTCCTTGCAAAACGGGATCTCGAAGTCTATATGGGAGTTTCCGAAAATAGGGTAGGATCCTTATTATAAGGACCCCCAAAATGAGGTACCCCTCATTTTCGGAAACTTCCATACGTTCACCCTGGCCTTCGAGGCTCCCAGGAAACCCAGACACCCCAACTTACCGAGCCGCAATTCTGAACCCGAACTTGCCGAAGGCCTGCGGATCTCTAGCCGCTCGTCGAATTCGCCCATGCAGATGCAGCACTCCTTCGAAATTGATGCGTAAGGGCCTTTATAGTCAGAATAAGCTTTTGGGCTCCTTCATAGCGTAGTTAATAGTCAGGAGCCCTAAAGAACAGTGTTGGTCATTTTTTTAGGCTTCTATGTCAGGGTGTAGTGTTCGGGAAGCGGTTGAGCAACGTAGGCGTGACATTGCAAGATAAGATACCGAGTAGACACATGTCTACATACATATTCATGTTGACTAAGTCGGGTTGCCATGCAAGTAAATCTTCCTTGGCTATGTCGCTTGGTGTGCACAGTGTGCTTTGTCTTTGTGTGAAATCCATATACACATCGATTATGCATCCCATGCCGGAAATACCATGTCGAACTGGCATAAACATATTCACTTATTCATAGTAACCTCGTAATTGCAAACGGTGCCATTTTGTGTACCTGTCCCGTGTTCATGGTGACGACATGAACAATCGAAATGAACTAACAAGCCATAAACACACAAATACCTCTATTCACACATATTATATATACACATAAGGATGTATGTTGTACATAAATGTGTATGTGACTGTATGTGTATGTACGACACCATGACAGGCAAGGGTTGCTCCAGGCATATGTGTATGCGTATGTAAACATAGAGGCGATTATATATATATATAACTATATATGTATATGTACATACATGTATGTGTGCCAAGAGAGAGAGAGAGAGAGAGAGAGAGAGAGAGAGAGAGAGAGAGAGAGAGAGAGAGAGAGAGAGAGAGAGAGAGAGAGAGAGAGAGAGAGAGAGAGAGAGAGAGAGAGAGAGAGAGAGAGAGAGGAGAGAGGAGAGAGAGAGAGAGAGAGAGAGAGAGAGAGAGAGAGAGAGAGAGAGAGAGAAGAGAGAGAGAGAGAGAGAGAGAGAGAGAGAGAGCGATCCAGGGAGGGAGGCAGAGTGAGGCGAGGGAGAGCGACGGAGAGCGAGAGGGAGGGGTGGGGATAGGAAGGTTCACGCACGGGTTCCCATGTCTCGGTTGGACTGAACTTTCTGCTCGCGGCATGTCCTGGTGCTGCTTGAACAGTTCAGCGTCGTACCTCTAAACGCAAACACTGCAACCGCCCTCAATTCCGCAGTCCCGCTCGTCTGTCCAATGCTGATGTCGGAACTGAGCTCTATGACAACTCTCTCCAGATGACCCTCGGGGCTTAGTAAGCCTTAGTGTTAGTGGGAGGAGGCTGTGACTGTGGGGGATAAAGGGCTCTCAGTTAAGATCGCAGGTCCACAATCTTGAACTCATATCGAGGACTCGAAAGTCCCACCTGAACCCTCGACATTAAAGCCTACGACCAGGTAAGCCCTCATGAAGGCGAGAGAGAGAGAGAGAGAGAGAGAGGAGAGACTGGAATGAATAAACATATATACGTATATACATATAGTTGTGTATAGTTGTAAACACACATATGTATATATATATATATGTATATACCTACATCTAATTACGCTAATTACACATACATACATACATACATACATACATACATACATACATATATATATATATATGTATACACATGTATGCAGACCCCAGCAAGAGCCGCAGGTCACGGGACCACCAGCTGCTGCTCCAGAGTGCCATCGGGTGCTGCCTTCTCGGTGTGCAGGAGCCCGTTGCGCATCATGAAGAGCATTCTGCAAGGATGGACAGCATGTGCTATTGAATGGACTTGCTGCATTCGTCGTAGCTGTAGTCGTAGCAGCAGCAGCAGCAGCACTAGTAACGCAACAATATCAACCCAAGGTCTGGCCAGCGTTTCTGACAGCATCCAAAGTGTCGCTGCACTGCTTTGACTGTTGGCAACATCAAATGTTCCCAGCCCCAGTCTGAAACCCTCGTGCCAGAGTCTACACAAGAACCCCCGTGCAGCCGAAAGATGAGGCCCTCAACTTTCAAGCCACGGTTAAGGTTTAGGGTTTAGGGTTCATCAGCCCCTGCCGTAGCCGAAACTCTGAACCCAAAGACAGCAAGGCAGGACCCTCAAATGTCAAAGCGAACAGCTTTGTCAGCTGAGCTCCATGCATGGTGTAGATCCCGACCTCGGGCCAAGCCAGAGGTCCAGAAGTATGCGTTCAACCGTGTTCTGGTCTCTTGCTGCCAAATTCAAGCTTTAAGTGTTCCGAGACTTTGTCTGCAGAATTCGAGGGCTCGAAACCGACTTGCAACAGATAGCTCACGAGACATTTCCGAATTCAAAAATCCCGATTCAAGGCTGCATAAGTTCGGATGTGTTCACGTGGCTTGCTACAAAAACCGACGCGGGGTTGTGCTATCACGTACATCTGAATATGCATTCAACTACATACAAGCCCAAAAACAGGATTTGCGCTTGCATGCATGTAAGAGTCGTGCATGAAGATCCAGCATGTTGGCAAACTGCCGGACTATGGCAGTTGAACCGACCAGAAACAAACAAAAAAGAATAACATAGAACAAGTGTGCTCATCAACCACCACGGCTCTGTATAAAGAGGCTGGTTTGGACTGAAAGCTAGTATATGGGAGAGCAACCAAACCTTGAAACCTCGCGACTCAACAATCAACCCTGAAACCCAAGAGCCCTAAACAACATGGAGCCCTTTACTGAACCTGTATAGGAACCTCAGAGACCAAACAGGGCATGAAACACTTGAACATTGAACATCCTTGAATGATTAAGCGTCCGAGACGGTGTAGGCACCCACCACACAGAGGTGTGGGATTCTTGCAGTTTAAGCTGGTCTAGAGTTTCGGTTGGAAGCTTAGGTCTTAAGAGTCTTCGCGTCATGATGGTGGCATAGTCGCAACATAGAACGAAGTTAAAATGCCTTCTGCTATCCCTTCTTGTGGTCTGCTTGTGGTGATGATTGGCGGGTGGTTGCCTCACCTATACAAGTCCCCGTGAGGTCCGAGCGGTGTTAAGATAAACGAAGACATTGAAGGCAATGGAGAAGGCCGCGAAAACCTACAAGCAGTCTGTCTTGCAATGTCGAGAGCACAAAGCTTCATGGGCTTGGCGGTCTTCGTTCCTGCAGTGGAGGTTTCAAGGGTTTCTAGTTCCCAAAACCTGCAGAAGTCTCCATCTAGACCCTTCCCACCCTAGATTGGACATTCTATCCTTCGGGCTTCGCCAGGTCCCACACCCCACGGATTTCGTTGCCCGCAACCCATGCGTTCACTTCGGTACTTCTGGAGAGTTCCTGGTACTTCAGCTTCTTCCTTGTGCCCGATGACTTGCATTGAGTCAGGGTCAAAGCTAGGAGCTGTGAAGTTCTTGGAACAAACCTAAGGTTAGACAACTTAAAAGACGAACACCAGAGGAGCACTGAAGCGCGCAACATTTGCCTGCCACCGCAATCGATGGGGTGCGACGACAATGAATTATCGTAGTGATTCCGATGCTGGTTTTGGTCCCGCTCCTGCCACTATACTGCTTCCTGCTACTACATGGGGGCAACGCTAGTAGCCATACGCTGTCGCCCCATCATACGGGAACATGGACGCATATCGGGCCCTGCTGCGGCAGGGTGCTTTGCCCCTTACTCGGTTTGGAATCACACAAAGCGACGACGTGCACGCATGTAAGCTGCATTTGGCAAGCTTCCGAAGACGAAGTAAAGGCTCCGCCCATCTCTGTCTCTCTCTCTCTCTCTCTCTCTCTCTCTCGCTTCGCCTCTCTCCTTCCCTCTCCAAAAAAATGGTGCTCACAGTAGACAACGAAGAACCTCCCCGTCCTTTTGGGTCAAAGACAGTTTTCTCTCTCTGATTGTTCTGATTGTGGTGTCACAAAACGGCACGACGGGTCTGTTCCTCCGGCTGCTGTGGCAGTGTGGCATGTAACGATTTTGGTCACGCCAAGAAAAGAAGCCTCCAACAAGCGCGATGCCGCGCAAAATTCGCCGGACCGTGACTGTGCATTAAAACGCCACTTCAACAGGCGATCGTGCCCTGGGTGAGACATGCAGCAGATTGCAGATCAAGGTTCCCGGCTAGTTTTCTATGTCTCACTGCTGGCTGCAGGCTGCATATAGGAGTTGTATTTAAAACCACTCAAGTGCACCGCATTAAACTCGCCAGCATTTCATCCAAATCACTGCGGCAAAGACTAGACCCACGATGTTCCACAGGATGGACATCTCTATGCCGCGGAAAACGGCGGCAATTGCGGCACCGATCCCGAGCGACAGAAGAATGAGGCACAAAAGACAGATCAGGAGTGGCTCCAAGAGGGAAGGTTTGATTTTGAATCTGCCCAGTCGGATACCTTGCTGCGTGAGGTAAGCTCCCAGTACGATGACAGATGGAAGCCAAATGAGGTTGAAGCACAACACCACGGCAAGGAAGTAGCTGATCGATACCTCTGCAGGCGCCCCGGACATGGAAAAAGCCAAAGACCCTTCCAGAAAGTAACTGGTATTCGGCAGCAACAAGAAGATGAGGTAGTGGCCTTCAATGCAGCGTTGGCTGCGTCTGAGCTGAAGTACTTCAAGGCAAAATGGCCCCTGTATATAATCGTTGAAAGCAGACAGGCTGCCGTACCACGTGATGATGAGATCATGGATGCATTGTCTATCAAACTCGTTGCTGCATTTCGCGTTCATCACATCGAAGTTTGTCAGCTGGCTCCTCAACTTTTCGTCAGCATCTTGCTTCTGCACTGCCGCAAGCGCCATTGCAGCAAGGATACACAGATGACCACCAGCAGCAACCGCCAGAGCTCGCCACCGTGTGGGCCCTCGCGAGCAATCCAGAATCCCACAGCACCCAATTGCGCCCAAATGAACGTCAAAAGAACCGCAACCTCCGTCATGATCCGTGATATCACTATCCTTCCATTTGGGTTGAGCTTGCGATATGCGGCTAATTCGAAGACACACCACAACCTCTGTAGGTAAGGCGCGCTCCACAGCACGCGCAGTTCCGAAGCTGACGCAAGGAATGCTCCGATAGACCTGATGCCCTGCTGCATCTTCCTGCTGTCCGTCTGGTGAACGCATACGAAATCTAAGAAACAGATGTCTGAAGCGACGTGTGGAAAGTATGGGAAGACCACAAGCCCTATGATGGCCCCAGTCAAGGACAGCAGCATCACCCAGCAACCTCGGCTGCCCAAGTCTTTGGGAACATGTGTTGTCGTTGCTTTTGCCTTCACAGGAAACCGCTGACCCCTAGCTAGCAAAACAGAAAACACTGATATGATGTATACATACAGACAAACAGACAGACAGTCAGTCAATCAGTCAGTGATACATACTAGTTAGATATCCCGAAAGCCACTGCCCAGCAACCATATGGGATGGAAGTGCCGTGAGTCCAGTGTATGCCAGGCCATATCGCCGGAAGCGGCATTTCAAATACAGTGAAGAGCGGTAGCACCTCTAGTACGACAAGAACGGAACCAATCATTGCCCCGATGGCCCAAAAGATCATCATGCTAGGCCAGCCGAAACGGAGAAGAAGAGATAACAGTTTCCATCTGCCGCGGGTCTCCCACGTGTGCGATAAAAACTTGTCATACCTTTTCGTGGGCTTGGAAGCATCCCAAAGCTTGGCCTTGTTGCGGGCACTCATGGACCGTGGATCAGAAAGCCAAAGATGGGCTCCCCACTGCAGCGTCTGGCGTAGCGGAATCCCTCGCATCAGCGTTGCATCCAAATCATCGAAGCTTGTTACAAAGCTTGCCAGGTCGGGTGTAGAAGCTGAGGACTTTGTATGACTTTCAGTTTCAGTCTTCTCGCCGTCGCTCTCCGCAAGACCCGTTACCTGGGCCTGGAGTGACGGCTGAAGCGCTTTATCACCTTCAGGGGGGAACCTTGTGAACGAGGAAGATGTGCATCGAGCATCGTAGGTGCTCTCGTCATCTCCATCTCGCTCCCTCTGATCGTTCTGGAACATCGGAGGATCAGAGGGATGAAGGCGAGAAGGGCCCCGGACCCCGAAGCCCGTGTGCCTTAGGCAAGCTTGAGCCTCCAGCATACGGTACTCCGTTGCAGCAGCAGCTCTCATACCGCAGCTGCCTTTAGTCTCAGGGATCAGAAGTTGCGAGGGTTTAGGGTTTAGGGCTTTGGGGCTTAGGGTTTAGGGAGGTCAGATGATTTAGGGGCTGCGGGTGTAGGCTTCAGGGCTTGAAGCAATCTCGCATTTCGGGACGAAGTCACTTCCACGTGACCCTCAACAGCCAGCGCTGACTCGCACTAAAGATTACGGTTGAGGGTCTAGGGCTTATTGGGGTTGAACATACAAGCCACTGGCCAAGGTGAGCCCAAACCTTGACGGACATGTAGAGGTCCGGCGAGATCTCCTGCGGGCATGTCAGCAAATGCATCCTTTGAGATTGGGCTACGGTGTTTACGCCTGCAGCTTCACGGTCCGAGTACTAGCTGGAGCTTTCCGCCAACTGACATCAGCTAGAGATGAGCAAACCCAGGCAGAACCACAGCAGGAAGATGATCGGGTCATGAAAGCACAAACAATAATATAGGGTCCTTAAATGGTTTTTAACAGGGTCTTGGGGCCCATTATACTATAACTATAATACGGAACCCACAAAATAGGATTGGTAATCATTAAGGCCCCTATACTCAGAAGCTGTCATCTCAAGAACGACGTCCTGGCAGTTGCGCGAGGTGAGCACCCAGTGCAGTCCCAGGCAGTGCCTGCGTGGGGACTCGACGGTTCAAGGGGCCCTTTAACCCTACCTATAGTCTCCTTTGTAGTTCCTTTTTTTGGTTTAACCAATTATATATTTAGGCTCCTATAAGGTAACCCCCAAAAGGAACTACAATGGAGACTATAGGTAAACCCTAAACCATGGAAACGGGTCAAGGGCATAGTGGCAGTATCGGACACCCGTAACTAACTGATTAATCCACTCGTTGATAAGTTCTATACTAGTTTCGGTACTGAGGCCAGGCCTCCAGACTCCAAAACCCCTTACTTGAAGAATTGGTCCATACGTGTTTTGACATTACAGATGCGCAGTTATCAAGATATGAGCCGGAATGTAAGGCATGTACATGTTCCTTTGTCAAGTCATGAATTTCAGCCCAAGTATACTCCTTGGTTACAGGGTGTTGGTACGGGGCCCGTATACTAGGCCCTATACCGAAAACTGAAGCACCGTATGTACGACGACTAGCAAGTGTGCGACATGGCTTTTTCACTACTAGATACCCTTACCTTCGATTCCTGCTAGTGGCAGGGGCGCCCTGCGGCTACTCTATGCTGAAGAATACTGTGTCTATTGCGATGAAACACCCTGATTGAGGGGGTCCCCTTTTTACAACCCTACCTGTGGCCTAGTATCTAAGTTAGCATATCCTACACGTACACCCAGAGCCGCAAAGCCCGATATCCGAATTTCTATACCGAAAGCCCAGACACTTTGTAGCACTAACCCAAATCCTAAATCCTCAGCGCTAAACCCTCGTGGTGGATCCCTTTTTCCACCACTCTGGTCAATCCATCGAGTCCAAGCTCAGCAGATTTGCCTGTCCAGGGCCAAGGTCTGTGCTTCAGGCTTGGGAGCCTTTCTTGGAGGTTCAGGGGTACTTATAAGTGGGGTTATAAGTAGGGTACCTAAAAACTATAATTGCTATTCGGGGACTTACAGCCCCACTTATAGCTACCCATGAACCTCCAAGTAGGACAAGACCTGTTGTGCCAGCCAAGGGAGCAAAACGATCCTTTACCACAGAAGCCTGAGTAGTTTTGGAATTATCTATATAGAAAAGCAAAAACAGGGACGATATGGGAATAATGGGAATAATGTTACGTAGTTACATACTACTTGTCAGTTTAGGCAGTTTAGGCCTCTATATTGCGACAAGAAGAGTCCCAAGAATTTGCTCTTTCACCCATGGGAACGAAATTGATAAACAGCTGCTGGGCCTGGACCTCAGAATGCAGGTTGTCTGTGCGCGCTCGGAACTTCCATCATAGGTACGTACGTAGCGGTAGCTTAAATGGGCTTTGAAGTAGCCAGGGAGAAAAAAGCATTGACTTTTTTTTCATAGTTGGTTCCCTTTAAGTAACAGGTCCCCAAAAGTATTAAAGTATGATACTCCAAAGCCCAGTTAACAGCTCGCCTAACCGCGGCTCCTGTGAAAAGATATCAGTGCACAGCAGTAACGGCACCAACACAAAGGATCTTACGAAACCGATCTCTACGCCGTCAACCCTGAACCCTTCATGATCACTACTACGACGATGACGACGATTACTAACACTGGTCCTGAAGTAAAAGCAGCAACAATCATAATGACAAGAACAGCACTCATGACACCAGTAAGGATACTGACAGTCGTAGTCATAGTAGTGACGAGTAAAACACGATAAGCTTGTTCTTCTCTAGGAGGTGCTCTTCAAGCCTTTGAAAAATATGTTAGAAGGTAAGATCCTCTTAAGCCCAACAAGAGCAAATCTAAGATGTCCCAAAGCCCGACCCAGTTCTTCTTCTTTTCAAGGCCTTGCCTTCGGCTTTCCCGTGGCGGGCTCCTTCTGAAGGATCGGCAGAAGGCTCCTGGATTCGAAAGACTTTATTGCCGGGTTTTTAAAGGTTTCTGAACCTTCACACCCGAAGGCCTTAAACCCTAAACCCTACTAAACCCTGAAGTCATGGCCTCAGCGAAGTCACCAGTTCTGGATTCAGGAGCTCGAAGATTGACTCTTCGGCTCCGTAAACGGCCCTGGCAAGCATTTAACATAGGGGCCTTCATAATTAGAATAGGGTTTTGGGGCCCATTATACCATGCTTATACTACGGAACATCATTAAGTCCCCTATATTATACTAGAGTTATAATAAGGAACCCCCGAAATGGTACCCTATGTTAGAGCTTCAGGGTCTCGGAGGTTGCTTTAGGGTCTGGGGCCTTTAGGGGTTTGAAGGGGTAAGGTTGAGGGTTTGCGCCTTTAAGGTTTCAAGGAATAAGGTTTAGGGCCTTTAGGGGGATTAAGGTTTAGGGCTTAGGGCCTTTAGGGGTTTCAAGGATTTAAGGTTTAGGGTTTGGGGCCTTTAGGGATTTCAAGGATTCAGGTTTAGGGGTGTCAAGGGTTAAGGCTCAGGCTAAGCAAGTCTACACAAGTCTCGCGTCGTGTGCAGGTTTCGAACAGACCCCTCACGCAGCCCCAAGATCACCGGCTGGTACCCTGGAGACGGATCTCTACTCCTACCCCGAAGCCTAATCCCTAAACCCTAAACACTAACCCCTAAACCCCTAAACCCTAAACCCCTAAACCCCTAAACCCTAAACCCTAAACCCTAAACCCTAAACCCCTAAACTCCTAAACACCAAACCCAGGACCCTCCCTGGCGACCTGAAGTGGAGCCGGGCCGCCGACTGGCGCAGGAAGGGCTGTGCGCTTGGGGGTAACAACGACTTTGTTTTGGATAGTTTGCCAGACCCTCAACGATTAAAAACATCAGCTTTAAGGCCTGAACCCTAAATCCGAAATCCTGAAACACTATCGGACTAGGCTCAGGAGCCAGGGTTCAGGACGTTTCAGGGCAGCTTTGTGATCACTGTTTTCTTGGTCTCCGGTCATGGCAACCACCGCAAACTACTCTCACCAATAGTGGCATGTTGGGTTTTGGTCAAACTCCGCTGTACGTCATACTACTATAATGGCTGATGGTGGCGATGGTGACGGACGTGATGTTGACGATCATGATGGTGATGATAATACGATGATGGTCTGCTGCCCATATCGGAGGCCTCAAAAGGTGGGATGAAGGTGGGTAGGATGAAGGATCCCTTATATAAGGCCTCTTATTTTGGGATTATCCCACCTATCTTCATCCCACCTTGTGAGGCCTCTGACCATAGAGATGATGTTAGCAAATGTGGCTTTGATGCCGAGCATAAAGCAGGCCAGGCTGTGGCAAGATGAGCATGGGAATCATGATGGTGAGGGTGGTGGTGGCGGTGGGAGCGGCGCCCACGACGATGTCGGTGAGGATGTGGTGACGACAACCACCACAAAGCCAGTAATCATTGCAACAGTGATGCTGGCGATGATGGTGGCGATCATGAGCGAGATGATTGTGATCAAGTGGGTTCTGGCAATCCAGATGAAGCTGCACACCGTGCGGATGCTGTTGGTGATGGCCACAGAAAGGGGAAGGGCAGCCGTGTTGTGCTGATCCCCACTTGAGCTGAACAAAGATTGAGACTTGGTTGCTGGTGGTGATGTGCAGTTGCGCGCGCAGTTATACAAAGACAACAACGAGGGCTGCGATACAATGCAATGGGTTCTGGTTCTGCTGAATGTTGGCGACGCCTTGCGGTCATCATGGCATTGGTGAATACAATGGCGGCGGCCATGCTGATCA